ATAAATTAGTTGTAGGGCAGAGGTGGACAACTTTGTCCCCCAAGTTCCACTGTCCCCAGAGTTTTACTCCAACCCTAATCAAACACATCTGAATAATCTAACCAAAACCTTTTAGAATTACAGACAGGTGTGATTGATTAGGACTGGTGCTAAACTCTGCAGGACAGAGCTGCCTAATTCTGTTTCCAATCAATGCTTGTTCCCTATAAACACAATGGCATAAAAAATATGAAGAAGCATGCCATAAACATGTCTGCTGCAAGTATCAGGCCAGATTCTCCAAGACTCATATAAGCATGGCCTTGCTGATCTAGACCTTTGCAGTGGAGTCTTGGCAGTGTGCTGTACCCGGCTCAGAGTTCTATTAAAGCCGCTGATTGGCTCTCTCTTTCGGCCGTCCTGTCACCACAGAAGGTCAGACAGAGTATTTCCACAGATCAAGCCGGAAAGATGAGATGTATGCTGCTTCTTTCCAAGATGCCGAGGGAGCTGCCAGCAGCTTGCGGCGTGATCCAATCGTCGCAGGTCATCAGACAATGACTTTACTCCAAGTTGTACAAATGGCAAGCTGGCTGAGACAAGGTTTAGAGTCCACTTCAATGAAACATGGAGTATGGACTTGCCCTACAGCGGCAAAAGGTTAGAGCAACATATACTGGGGATATATGCCCTTAAAAACATGCTATGGTAAGGTGTACCTAAAGGAGGACAGGAATGAGTTATGTTTGCTGCTTCCATGTAGTTAGCTTCTTTTCAGCACAGCGAGTTCAGTGCAGCACAAAGCCCGAGGTCAGTGAGTGACAGTGCTGCAAGGCCTACACAATAAGTCTTTTTTAATAATAGCGTGGCATGGATGTTCCAGAGACTTCTCTGGGTTTTCAAAACACTGGCTGAGAATGTTTGGAAAGACGAAGGACAGGATTCCAACACGATGCTTTCAGACTACGCTACATTCAATCGCTCGCCCAGAGAGGCGGGTTCTGTCTTGCGGTCTACTGGAAGTAATCCATCTTGTAGTGTGCCATTGTAAACACAGTGATTACATCCATTCACTGGCATTCACTTCTAAAGAAAGACATGCATCATACAAGGGAACAGTCACGATCCATCGCTCGGTAACATACGGCCATGCATACGCCTACACATGCTCGTACCCAATCACCATGTGCTCCCGGTTCAGCCAATAGCCAGTTGTCAGCTCGCCGGCACCCAGCGCAGGCAATTAGAAGGAAAGCTGGAGGACAACGTCCTAGAATCCCTCTCTCTCTGGAGCTGGAGCAATTTAATTGAGACTGAATCTCAGGGACTAGCCCACTTCTCGCAGACGGTCAGCAAATATGAGCAGGGTCCCAAAGCTCCACCAGCACCAGGCTCATAACACCAAGCAATCAGCCGCACTGAGAAGAGAAAATACACTCTATTTGTGGGCGAGAGCGTGCATTTATAACTATGACTTTGCATGTATAAGTTAAAGGGATAGTTCACAGTTCTGTCATCATTTACTCTGATGTTCCAAACCTGTTTGAATTTCTGTCTTCTGTGGAACACAAAAGAAAATACTAAAGCCGTTTTTGTCCTAAACATCGACACAAATTTAAATTTTTCTAAAAATCTACTATAGTGTTCCACAGAAGGAAGACATATGTTGCATATGTTATTAGGATTAATAAATGATGACAAAATCTTATTTTAGGGGGTTACTAATGTGTGCATACTTGTTCTGAACTTCATGATTCAGAAATACATCCGAGCAGAACTACAGCTGTGCTGTGTGTGCGTGTGGAAGAGCATCCAGTGTTATTCCTGTGCAGATTGGCCAGAGCTGACCCCTGGGAGAGACTGGTGCCATCTGACCAGCTGGCGAGAGAGAGACACTGACAGGGCCCATCTTACCTCCAAATGCAGCTCTTTCCTGTTGTCTCGTCCCTTTCTTTTTCCCTCATCCCTCCCTGCTGCTCATCACAATGACGCTAATGATGAATGCTGGGTAATTAACGTTTAAATTAAGTTAAGCATTTGCATGGCATTCTGGCTTGAAGATTGGCACGCTCCTTGAGAAGCCACATCGAGACAAAAAAAGACAAAAAGAAAGCTGAATCTCGTGAAATAAAAGACTAAGACAGATCTAACAGCTGTGGTCCACTTAGTGACGCGTTTTCAATGTTCCGCTTTGCTCCCCTAACAACAGCAGCGATGCAAAAAAAAAAGAGAATGCCTTTGCTTTCCCCCAAGCTTGATGTTCTTAGGTCACAGCACGAAATCCTAAGTTATGCATCTATTCCAGATCAGCAACCCAATTTATTTAGCTCTGGGATAACGCTGTGCCTTCTCTGAAAAGGCCAGCATAAATCTCAGCCTGCTTTTACAGACCTACCCTTATTTGTCACTGCTGTCTTTCTGCTTTATCCTTTTCTTGTGTACTCCAGCATGCTGAAGCTAAACTCTGAATCTCTTTTTCTCTCTAAGACTCTGAGTCAACGGTCAAGCTCTACACGTTACGAAATCCATCTGGTAGGGCAGCGCACTAACTATGCCAAGGTCGTTGCTTTGGTTGACAAACACACACGTACTGACAAAATGTATACTGTGAATACGCAAACATACAAGTAAAGACAGTACAAGCAACCTTGTGTGCAGATTGAGATTCACATTACATGAATAGTGTAATTCAACTCATTCTGTGATGTACTGACACTGACATTGTATGACACATATGGTGATGTGATTAAGTCTAAACTAAACTGTTTTGCACTCAGAGATAAGCCAGACTGCTAGCGAATTCAATGCTACAATATCATTCTGATGTAATTTTGATGAAATCCCTCTTTTTTGGAGCAGCAGAGTTTTGAAGGCAATCTGCCAGACATATCACAAGGTCTGGAAGGTTTTCAAATGTCATATCATACCTATGAAAGAGTTGAGTCATAATGTGGACGGCTTAGATTTAATGTTTGGTTTATATTTGTCATTCTGCCTCATATTTCTATTATATTCCTGCTCTTCGAATGCCATACTCACCTTGCGCAGCTCTTCATGCATAAAGGAGTTTAATTTTCAACTCGTTTTTCCTTTGCGTTCAATTTTATGGAGCGCTAGAATCCAGAAAATTGATATGCAAATATTCAAAGGTTCCGATTCCCTGATTCGCCAATCTGTTACACTGAAAGAGCCCAATCTCAAGCAAGGAGTTACTTCTAAGGAAAGTAAATCAGGGCACGCAGGTAGGCCTACTGACAGATATTCCACTTGTGCGCTGACGAATAATTGAACTGTTCTATATTCATCACTGCCCCAGAGACACAATTAAATCTCTTATCTCAATGTTTGTGTTCCTACAAACACATTAGCAGCTTTTTCCATGGGAACGACAGAAAATCCTGCTTTATGCTCTAGAAGTGTTAAGGACTATGCAGCCATTGAACACCTCATTGAGCCTTATGGAAAAGATTAATAAGAAATGCAGCTACATTACATTAAACTAATCAAGCAGATAGATCACTAGAAATGTACCATAAAGGTCAATGAAATACTGATGAAGGGAAATGGCTATATTGAGACTTGTGCTTGGAAAAATCACAGGCTCTGTTATAGGTTAGTGATTTAGCAAAGCATCACTATTATTTTTATTCATCCAGAACTACAACACATAACTCACTCTGCTACTGTTTGTGCTAAAGTCGTGAATGATAGCTTTTTGAGGACAAGGGATCTATGACTTTTATTAAAGATTGGATGCACTATGTATGCCTGCCTGGTGACAAAACAGCAAAAAAAATCCCTTAGACTTAAATTGAAAAGGAGTCAGAGGGTTCATACATCCATATCAAAATGTCAGAGAAACCTGAGGGAGACTCAGACCAGCAAGAAAACATTCTGAAATACCCTAGAAACTTCATAGACACACCCTAGCAACCAGCCAGAATACCTTATCAACCAAAGAGAAATATGCCTTTACAAAATCTCTTCTTGGGCCACTAAAGCACCTGCCATCTCAATACTCCGTATATTATAAAAACATTCAAGCAGGTTCTTTAGAATTACCATACACAATTTCAAGAAATCTAGGAAGATTATTCTTATTGCAACAAAAACATCCAGATTTATATCAGAATCACTTCTTAAATAGATGCAACACTCATCGCCTTGCTCAGCAGACACTTTCATTCATTTAGGTGTCCTAAAAGTAGGGTCATCATGCATGTTAAACTCATACTGATGGAACAAATAAAAGAAAGCTGGAAAAACAAAAACAAGCTATCAGCTCTTAATGGATGAATGTGTACTCGATAAGGGAAGATTCATTGCCAACCTGAAATGACACTCTCTGCCTTTCATTGCCAGTCTGCATGATCCAATCTGACTGTAATTTATCACATATCATCTAAAACATTCCACTTGTGCACTAACAAATAACTGAGCTGCTCCATATTCATCACTGCCCGAGACACAATTAGATCACTCACTCTTATCTCAATGTTTGTGCTCCCAAAATACATTAACAGCTTTTTTTCCATGGGAGCAATGGAACATCTAATGCTTTATGCTTTTGAAGTCTTACACACCAAGCAGTCATCATTGAAGAGAACAGATAAGATCAATAGAAATGCGCCTTAAAGGTCAATGAAATATTGATGAAGGAAAATAGCTATATTACGGCTCATGCTGAGAAACCGTAAATACATGATTCGCAGTCTTTATTGTTCATATATTAATGCAAACATTCAAAATAGTTCGAAAGATGCTGTTGATCTCGTTGAAGTGTCCCAAATAAAGATTCATCGTTAAGAAAACGGGGAAAGAAAGGCAAACTTGTACTACGTAAGGACATACGTCGCGTTGCCAACCTGATTTAAGACACTCTCAGACTGTCACTGACGCTGTGAATTCTGCAAACTGATAGTAATTGATAACATATGATCCGAGACACTGATCTAAGTGACAGACCGCTCCAGGCGTTTCTTCTCATGCGGTGACATTCCAAGTTGTCCGATCTGCCTTACCTTTCCCAGCCAGGATGCCGCACTGCCCGGAGAGCACCAGGAAAAGCATCGCTGTTATCACGCACATCTTCATGATGAGCCCAACACTTCGACCAGAACGCGATGACCTAATTCTTCCTCTGTTAATCTGAACAAACACCACTCTCTGGCTTTATCTGTCCTTGAACGACGGTGAACTGAAGTCTCGCTAGTGAACTCCCAGCAGCGCGAGACGCGGTCCGAGCGCACGGGGTTACGCGGTCTGTGTGTCTGCGCGTTGCGCGAGTTAAACCCCCAGGATCGGGCTGCAACGTCACTCCCCGAGCAATTAATCTTCACCTATGATAAGCATTTATTTACGCCCTTTCTAAATGCTATTCTGGTAGAGGTTTTATTTGATATTTTCATGTTTTGAATGTGATATTAGGAATTGATTTACATTTGTGTTACTGGTCGTTTTTAAACTGTTTCTTTCTTTTTATTTTCTCAGACTTTGGAAGCCTAGAATAAATACAGAGTATGATTTTGTCCAAACATCCTTCTCATTAATTATTGATATTGTCATTATCTTAATCCAGTGACAAGACTTCTCCAAAGGTGGGCAGCTGCTGTTCTGTGCCTTCTGGGCACATTAAAAATTAATAACAATAACAAAAACAGCAGTGCTGGGAATTTTTCTTTATGGTTCATATAATCATGTTTGCATTTCATTGCCTATGATAAAATTATGACAGAATGTTCTAAAGCAGCTGTAAATCCTATAATGTACAAAACTTTCAAACACAGTAAAAAAAAATTCATTCAAAAATGTTATTCACCACTTTGTGACGCTTTTTATAAGTATTGGTGATGCAAATACACTTATTTTTATATGTTATTAAAAAAATGTAACTGGTTAACCGTAAGTTACCTTATCATATACAGTGAAAATTAGTTTTTTGCAATATATGAGAAATATATGAGTCATATTATAATTGGTAAAAACTTTTTCTCCCAGTCCCTCTGTCACATTTTCATTTTATATTGTTTTTTTATTATTTTATTAGGCAATAGTGTTTTAAGATTTATTATTTTTTGTTTAATCGGTATTTATTGCATTATTTTAGTGTCCTGTATTTCCGCAATGGTGTTTTGTGTTTTACCACCTGTGTAATTATGGTGGTTATCAGTATTTTTAGGAACATACACAAGCTAACTGAAGTGTTTCTATTATTTTGGTGTAACTTACAGACAGACAACAGCTTACTGGACATCAAAGGCTGCAAACCAAAGTTGTAAAATTCTCACGCTGTTTGTTCACGCTTGGAATTTAACTGAATTCCTTATGATTATGTTGCGTTTTGAAAAGTCACACTTATTTGAAATGCAGTTTTTTGAGCTGCGGTAATCCATTTTCAGTAAGACCATTTTCAATCCATATTAATTTCCTTTTTTTCATGGTTGTCCCTGAAAATTACCTCTCAGTTTCCTCCCATGCATTAACCACATGTGTACTAAATCCTCACTTTCCTGTAAAAACTGCCATTTCACATGCAGAGTGTATTCTGAAGATCAAACATTTTCATTACTGATGGCGGCTCATGCCCTATGATTTCCCCTCAGGTGAAGTGAGATTTGTCAGCTGAGGTAAAAAAAAAAAAAAAAAGTGTGTGTGGACTGTGGACTTCCCATGTGCCCAGGTTGACTAGGAAAGCTTTTAATGAGTGTTCAGCCATAAACTGAAGGTCTTCTCATTTCCAGCTACTCTCTTGAGAGCACCACATAGGTTCAATTCAAGATATCAAAACACTGTAAATAACAAATTCCTGTAGACAAAGTTTTAAAACTTTTAAAATGTATGTAAAAAGTGTACGATATAGGGAATGCAGAAAACGTAATTATGCATTGATTAAGATCTGTTATAGACTGCATTATGTAAATATGGCAATGCAATCATTTAGCAGGAGGTAAATTATAAATGCCTTTAAAAGTCAGTCTTTAAGATGCAGTTTCATCAAAATGGAGAAAGAAAACTTTCTGAAATCTATTTAAAATTCTAACCCACCACCCATTCTTTTGCTCATTTTATTTCCTATTTTTTCTTAGTTAAATGTCAATTTCACAGAAGCCCGGGGGAATTTCTGATAATCGTTTTAGTTGCTTGAAAAAAATGAGGTGGTTTAAAATGCCATATTATTTCCCCAGTCTTCCTGAAACCTAATTTACCTGCACAGCTGATAGATTGGAAAACCCATTTGCGCTCATTCATTCCAATCGTTTGGCTTGTTGCATTTCAGGGGATGCATTCTGTTGAGTAAATTTGCTCTAGGTGAAAGCTTCTTCACTCTTTTATCAATGCATCTGCAAGTCTAAACATCCAACGCAGAGCAGACATGAGAGGGAAGAGCTGAGCTCTCTGTGAGAGGAACCTGCTCGTGCGGATGCCTGAAGCAGGTTAGCTGCCAGTGTATTATAGATGATGTATACAGTCTTGCTGAGGTTTTGCAGAAATCCACCTTTTCGGATTGCGATCTTTAATTACTCCACTAGCAGGATCTTAATGCATCAACAGAAGCAACAACACTGTATGGCCACTTTGTGTACTCTTCTGTTCAAAGCTTTGCTTTTAAAGCAATAAGGCTAGCACCAGCCATGGAGATTATGCCATTAATAACTTATGTCTTTACTAAATTGGAGACAGTTATAAGGTAAAACTTGAACTTTTTCAATGAGCTAAATGTGATTAACTGATAAGGTTTCTTAATTCTCATTCTTATTATTTGCCTGGGTATGTTTAGTACTACCAAACATGCAAAGAGTTTTACTTTTTCTAAATATGTAATGTTGATCATTATATGCATATATGATATAGCCTACACACACAGCATTTCAAAATACAAAGTTAATATTGGATTACTTACAGAAGACACAATATTGCCAGTTACTTTGAACGCGTTTCTCTTCAAACAAATGTGTTTCCTTCCTGAATGTGCGAACGAATGAACGAATCTGTTGGAGAAATGATCGTATGACTCATCCCTGCATTTCGTTGCTAAATGAATCAGTGTTTTTGAATGAATCGGTTGACTGACTGAGTCAATGATTCACTCACAAAGACAATCGCTTGTCGCCTTCTGGCGTAACGATGTAACTGCAGTAAGGATCACTGAAAAATTCGCATCACTTAGACAGAGCTTGGTCATTTTAGTATTATTTATATGCTATGATAGTATTTATTGATATTTTGAAAAAGCTTTTATTTGTATATTTTCATGTTTTATGTGCTTTTTTTATTTCCATTATCTTCTTTCTTTATTTTATTATTTTTTTTATTTAAATTTGACCTTTTTGTTTTAGTTTTAATAACTTTCGTACTTTAGCTTAAACCTGTTCAGGTTTTTTATTTATTTTCAGTTGATTGCCAAGGCAACATTTCCTATTTTTGTTTTGGCTTTTACATTTTTTTCATCTATTTTTATTTTAATTTAAGTTTAGTTAACAATTAACAATTAACAATGACAACACTGACCTGGAAAACACAAACACAACAGACAAGGTAGTTATAGTGAAAAATCACAGTGCAGTCGCATGCTGCTTGACTAATCAGATGCAAAAACTGAAACTAATCGTTGTATAAAAATATAAATATATGCACATAAATTTACATCAACATTTCTTGTCACTTGACACAAAGGTTAATACCTGTTTTCAATAATGCTATTCAATTTTTGTGTCTTATCACCCACATCTCTCTCCAGTCTTGTAATATTCTACAGACATCGCTGTAATATGTCTTAGCTGTGTCTTTTGCTATTATGGAGCTCTCTAAATAATTAATTCCAATTCTATTTAAAATCTTATGAGAGCAATCTGTCCAAATGAAGTCTGAACTCCTCTTTTGCAGGAATCACTCTTTTAAGATCCACCACGGAGGTGATGCATCATCCACAGATATTAAATTTTTTATTTGCTTTATGTGTTTTTCACTGCCTCGGTTAGACTCTGAATCCATCATTTGCTCATGGAGTCAATCTTTTCAGCACCTTGGAGAGTTCTCAGTATCTGTGACAGTACTACCTGCCTCCCAAGAGGGGTCACCCTAGAGTCATTTGCGTTTAATTACTGCCTAGAAACTACTTGGGATCACCTTGCAAAAATAAAATAAAAAATGCGTCAGTAATAGAATATAGACATTCTACTTTAAATGGCAGTCTTACACTCTTAAAAAGAATGTTGCTAAACAATACCCGATTAGGGTTCTTTGGCTTCTAATGAAAGCAAAAAGAACCATACCTTTTTAATTACAGTTTATTTTCATTAATATTCATTTTTTAAACATATTATTATTGTAACTGTAATTATTAATATTGCATGGTTTTATCATCTTGAATGCTATATTAGGGTTGTGTCCCCCATACTGTGCCATACGTTTATTTTTATTGTCATTTGAATTTGTAGGGGGAAAAATAACAGTGACAACTGAATACATTCAAAAATGAAAATTGACACTGGACATGAATAAATACATAAACAAGTAAAACAAAACATAGAAACAGATATTATAAAATCAAGTTCCAGTCAAATATTTTTACAATTTTAATTACAGTTTATTTTCATTAATATTCATTTTTTAAACATATTATTATTGTAACTGTAATTATTAATATTGCATGGTTTTATAATCTTGAATGCTATATTAGGGTTGTGTCCCCCATACTGTGCCATACGTTTATTTTTATTGTCATTTGAATTTGTAGGGGAAAAAATAACAGTGACAACTGAATACATTCAAAAATGAAAATTGACACTGGACATGAATAAATACATAAACAAGTAAAACAAAACATAGAAACAGATATTATAAAATCAAGTTCCAGTCAAATATTTTCACAAACCTCTATGATGTATTTATCATGTGTTTATTATGTAACTGATTTGCAGTTACACCATAATAATGGATTCAGTGTCTGGTTGAGAGTTATAGCCTATTGTGTCTCATTCATTCGTTTATGCAAAAGCAATTATGTTTATGAAGGCCAAAAGTAGCCATTGTTAATGGACAGTATTTGAGCACTTCACAATGTTACAAGAAAAAAGCCTAAAGAATCCTGGCACGGCTTATGAGTTGGAATGTTTGTGCAGAAACCACAGTAATAATTGAAAACTCTAACCATATTTATCATAAATCCAGTTTTTCTGTATCCTCAGCAGAACAGAGCTGATCACACTTACAGTACATGTCCTGTTAAAATTAAAAGAGAAAAAAA